CGGCCCCCCTGCGGCCATTCACCGGAGAATTCCGCGCCTCCTCCCCCTTTGCACTCCCCCAAGGGAGGCGCAAGCGCCTAACTCAACGTACATTGCTCGTACCTCGCTCTTTCCGTCACCTGGGCCGGCACGGAAACGGAGAGAGCGCCTCAGGAACTGGTCCGAGAGGGCTGATGGCACTCTTCGCTCTTGGGAGCCTTGGTGTGAAGAGCTTGTTGTCGCCGCTCTCCGTTGGGAGCCCCGGTGTTCAGAGAGCGCTCTCGGCCCGTCTTGGAGCCATCTTGAGCCTCCCTGAGGCCGTCGTGGCGGCAGCTTGGGCGCTCTTGGGGCTAGCATTGGACCGCCTTGAGGCCCTCGGAGACGCTCTCTGGGTCGACTTGGGCCGTCCAGGGCCGTCAACATGGCCGAAACTTGTGGCATCAGATCTGGGCCCGCCGAGGCCAACCCCCTCACGCTCCGCCCTTGCCATTTCGAGAGGTCTCCTATAGATGGGGTCCGAGCAGATGGGATCGGAGGATCGCGCCGCATCGCCGACACATCGGCGATGCATCGGCAATGTATCGGCGATTCATCGGTGATGCACCGTCGACTTCAGCGATGCATCGGCGACGTCGACGTGAAGCAAATCGGGCGCCACATCGAGCCGCATCGCCGATGCATCGGCGATGCGGCGCGATCCTCCGACCCCATCTTCTCCGACCCCATCTAGGAAGGCTAGAATACCTCCCAGCTAACGGATCGCGACGCTACAGTCGGGGCGTTGACCTAAGGAGCCCCAAATGAGGAGCGAGGCCCCCTATTCCCAAAAGTTACACTTCGACTTACCATGGGAAACCTCGGGAAATCCTGAGGCAAACTGTTAAACAATCAAGGAACACCGAGTCCCTCCCCAACGAAAGGGGTCCTTCCTCAGCGCCCCGACTGTACGCGCGCCTTGCGTCATCCGCCGCCCCCTCTTGCCTTGCCACAGGGATGCACGGCGTGCCGAATGCCTGGCAGGTTGTTGGTTGTTTCTAAAAACCTCCCATTGGGATCTCGGCCCAATCCGCCGGCCCCCGGCGAGGTTCCAAATTTCGGTATCCGTTGGCCCCATCGGCTCCAAGACGGCCAAGATGGTATCCAAGACGGTCCGCAAAGGGCCCCAAGACGGCCCAAGGGGCCTCCAAGACGCCCAAGATGGCCTTCAAGACGACCCTGAAGCGCCCCAAGACAGCCCAAAGAGGCTCCTAAAACGGCTACCAACGGCGTCAGACGGGCCAGGATCGCCGTAAGCTGGCCAAAAGGCTCCCAAGAAGCTCCCAAAGGCACCCAAAAGGCCCAAGGAGGCCTCCAAGAGACCTCCAAGAGGCCACCACGACACTCCCAGGAGGCCCCAAGAATGACCCAAGAAGCTCCCAAGAGGTCTCCTCATCCTTCTCCTCATCCTCCTTTTTCCTCCATCTCCTCCACCATCTCCTCCTCCTCTCCTCCTCCTCCTCCTCCTCCTCCTCCTCGCCCACGTGTTCCCCGAAGGGTTTCCATAACGAGGAGGGGAAGCTAGGAACGAGGAGACGAACTGGGAGGCGAGGAGGACGAGCGAGGAGGAGGGCGAGGGCAAGGAGCCGCCTGCCCGACACCACCACGTGAGGCCCCCCGCACGTTGGCTGCACGAGATCGACGGCAGCCCCTCCGGCCATTCCCTGGGAAGCCCACTACGAGCGCGGCAGTGGACAACAGCCGATCGCTGTTGTGGCAGTTCGAAGAAGAAAAAACGCCATATAAACATACACTTTTGGCGCTCCGCGCGGATTTCTTCAATCTGCGCTGGGACCCCCCGGCGGCGCCTCGCCGCCCCTGGCGCGCTCCGCGCGCCGGGGAGGGGGTCCAGAGCAGGTCCAGAGCAGGTCCAAGAACCCCGCGCGGAGCGCCAACCGTTTTTGCTTGTGGTGTTTTTCTTCTTCTGCGAGCAATCGGAGATCCACAGAGGCAGCAAAAGCGACAGCCGAGGGACCCTGGCTGCGGCAGCAGCAGCGACGGGTGCCGCAGGGCCTGCCACCTCGACCGCGGGCTCGAGCATCGCGTCGTCATCAGGAGCCCGTGGCTGCCATGGAGGGTCTGCCAGTCATACAAGCCCCCTCCCCTCCTTTGGCAAATCCCGAACTGAACCTGACCCAGGCCCTGTCGACACTGCGCCACAGCTAACCTGACCTATTTTTAGCTGACGTGACCAACGGTTCGGCGACACCAGTGCATCACGCGCGCGCTGCGCAAATGATGCACCAGAATGGGGCGACACAGCAACATGCAATGTACTGTTGCTGTCAGAAGACCTACCTGGCAGCGGGCAACTGCCAAACCACGACATCACCGACCCTACGCCGACGCGGGGGCCGTACAATACGAGAACCGCAGTATACACATGTGAGACCGGGAAGGGCCTAGGACAGGCACCTAGCACCTCGCACAAGCACGCAAATACGCAAGCCGATACAGACTAGCTACACGGATCCATCATGATCGTGGCCCTCACACCTGCCTCACTGCAAGGCTCTACGACGGCTACATCATTCGTACAATTACACATGTGCAATACTACTGTGTGCCGACACAGACCCCAACTGTACAGCCACACCGAGCACAATGACATTACAAGCAACATCGACCGCACCATATTCGACATCATGCGCCGAGTGTGCGTCCCACGAGCTGCACGAGCAAGTCAGCACAAGTATATACACACGTACATGGCCATACACTTACATACCATCGTCTGTTTCGTGTGCGTCGTGGCGAGGCCACCTCCTCCAGCCTCAGCTGCAGCATTCTGAATGTGCCTACCGCACTGTCAAAAAATGAGGACGGGCATGTCTATACTGCAGAAATGCCTACAACCTCTTGGAACAACCAACGCACTGCAAGACTCTGCGCATGCTACCGCTACAGCCACCATGCCGCAGCCAGCCCACGACGAGCGCTCCTGTTTTAGGTATGAGGCCAATGCTGAAGGCCAAACGGCGGTCTAGCACTCTGGGTACGGGGCGAGATGGCGCACCAACCCCGAGACCCACAAGAATGTGTTCCAGATCCCTGCGCACGGCCAACGACAGCAGTGCTCCTAATTCCCACGACAGCACAAACCCCACAATGCACTACCGAAAAGACGTTGCGATCAACCCTACCTCTTGGCCAGGATCCGCGACGCGCTCACCAGAACCGTGTATCCCACGTAACATGATGGCCCGCATGGTGGAAACAACGTCTGGAACTACCGTCACAGAGAAGCGGACCGTGGCCAAGCAGAAGACGACGCCCTACCAGAACCTCGCTAAAACTTGAAGGACCCAAACGACTTGAAAAGCCCATGGACATGCGTCCCACTCACCTGGACTGCACGCGCAGATCCAAGATATCTGCGCGGTTCGTCGAACATTTATGTTTGCAAGCGTTCTTTATTCGGCGTTTCGACATTGGGAGGAAAGGGGGGGGAGGGGGGGGGGGTCTGGCGACTGTTTGCAGCAGTGCGTCCTCTGGGGGAGCCTCCACCTGCGTGAAGCGGGCGCCAAAAAGCAGCCAAGGTCCACCCCAAGGAGGGTGGAGGGGGGAGGGGGGGGGTTGGGGGGCCCGCGCCGATCTGCAAAACAACGAATAAAAAACGACCACCTTATGCAGAATTGTCTTTCCTTCGAGTCCTTCTTACGAGCCGCACGCCCCCCCCCATGCCCCTCGGCGCGCCGCGGAGAAAAGGAGGGGGGCGCCTCGGCTTTCTCGCTCTCGGTGGCAGCCACGAGCTTCTCGTTGTCCTGGCCGAGGGTTGGGGGTGGGGGCTGGCACAGCAGTTTCCTCCCAGCGCGGACCCTCACCCAGCGCGGAGAAATGCTGGCCATAGTGTACCAGTTTGGCGGGGTCCTGACTGCTTGCCCTCGTCGTGCTCCACCCCGTCCGCGACCCGAGGGCCTGCTCGGTGTTCCAATTAGGGCGCGTGCTCCTCTTGATGTTCAGTATGTATGCGACTGGCTGCCGGCGGCCGAGGCCCCACTGCGGCTGAGGTGGCAGAGGGGGAGGAGCCCCTCCTCAGCCATCCTCCCCCTGCTCCGCCTCGGTCATCCCCTCCTCGTCCATCCTCCTCCCGCTATGCACTGCGCATCCCCGTCGAATCCTCACAGATCCTCACGGCCTAAGGCTGGGATACGGGGCTCGCCTTCAGCTGGCCACCTGAAATCAACTGCTGTGCATCGTCGCGTGTGCCGCGCCCACGCGCGGACCCATCCCCCTCCTTCTCCTTGTCCTCCTCCTCCTTCTCCTCCTCCTCCTCCTCAAATTCATCCTTCGCCTCCCTCCTTCTCCTCCACCTCTTTTTCCTCCTCCTGCTCCTCCTCCTCCTCCTCCTCCTCCTCCTCCGCCTCCTCCCACTCCTCCTCCTCCTCCTCCTCTAGCATCCTCCTCCCACTCCATACTCCTCGATCATCATCCGCCCCCTCCTCCTCTTCCTCCTCCTCTTCGTTATATTAGTAGTTGTATCATCAGTTGTTGTATTGTTGTTCGTATTGTGATTGATTTCTTGTTATGGCTGTACTCTGATCAGTCATATTAGTTTGCGTAGCAGCATGATTAGTAATGTGTGTCGTAGTATTAGTCTCGTTAGTAGTCTTCTTAGTTTGCTTAGTGTTAGTAGTCTTAGTGTTCGTTGTTTTTCTTGTTCGCATTAGTCGCCTGATTAGTTTTCTCGTCATTGGTGGACTCCTTCGTACAATCATTAATAATATAAGCATTGCTTCTTCTAATAGTGTTCGGATGCTTCTCATTATTATAGATATTCCTCCTCCTCCTCCTCCTCCTCGTCGCCCTCCTCCTCAATCCTCCATCCTCCTCGTCCTTTTCCTCCTCCTCCTCCTCCGCCTCCTCCTCCTCCTCCTCCTCCTCCTCCCCCTCCTCACTCCTCCTCGTCATCCTCCTCCTCCACCTCCTCCTCCTCGTCCTCCTCTTTCTCCTCACCTTATCCCTCCTCATCCTCTTCTTCGTCTACGCTTTCGTTTCTTGTTATTACTACTGTTCGTACTATTATTGGAACTGTTTTCCGATCAGCATTACTGCTAGTGTTCGTAATCCCGTGAGTATTATTACTATTAGTATTCACCTTACCTGTATCGTTATCAGTAGCCCTATCACTAGCTGTCGCCTTATCGCCATGACTACTGAGATTAAACATACGAGTGTGAGCATTGCTACTATCATTACAAGTAAGAGCAGCAGTAGAAGGAGCAGTGGTAGTTGTAGTAGCGGTAGTACTAGTAGTGGTAGTAGTGGTAGTAGTGGTAGTAGTGGTAGTAGTGGTAAGAGTACTAGTAGTAGTAGTAGTAGTAGTAGTAGTAGTAGTAGTAGTAGTAGTAGTAGTAGTAGTAGTAGTAGTAGTAATCGTAATCGTAGTGGTACTAAAGATAGCCGTCGCTGTAGTAGTAGATGTAGTAGTCGTGGTAGTAGTAGTAGTAGTAGTAGTAGTAGTAGTAGTAGTAGTAGTAGTAGTAGTAGTAGTAGTAGTCGTAGTAAGTAGTAGTAGTAGCCGTACTCGTAGTAGTAGTAGTAGTAGTAGTAGTAGTAGTAGTAATAGTAGCAGTAGGTATAAACAAAGTATTCAGCAGTAGTAGGTGTCGTAGTGGAAATGGTAGAAGTAAGTAGTATAATAGTAAGTAAGCAGTAGTTTAAGTAAGTATTAAGTATTAGCAGCACCAGTAGTAGCAACATAGCGCGCGCAGTAGTAATATAGTTGTTCGTAGTCGAAAGTCAGTAGTAGTAGTGGTAGTAGTTCGTAGAAGTAGATAGTAGTAGTAGAAGTAAGAGTCGTGGTCGAGTAGTAGTAGTAGAAGCAGAAGTAAAGAAAAGTAATAGCAGAAGTAGAAATAGTAAGTAGATAGTGGTAGTATAGTAGTAGCAGCAAGTAAGTAGTAAGTAGTAGTAGTAGATAAAGTAAAAGAAAGTAGTAAAATAGTCCACGGTAGTAGCAGTCCGTAGCAGAAGTAGCAAGCAGTAGTATTCGTCTCAGTAGTGTAAGTAGTAGTCGTAGTAGAGTAGTAAAGTAGTAGTGGTGGTATATAGTTAGTAGTAGTAGTAGTAGTAGTCGTAATGGTAGCAGTGGTAATAGTAGTAGTAGTAGTAGTAGTAGTAGTAGTCGTGGTAGTAGTAGTAGTAATAATAGTAGTAGTAGTAGTAGTAGTAGTAGTAGTAGTAGTACTCGTATTATGTTTACTATTATTAGTAATGGTAGTGGTAGCAGTAGTAGTAGCAGTAGTAGTAGCGGTGGTAGTAGTAGTCGTCGTACGAGTACTGATAATGGCAGGCGTAGTAGTAGTAGTGGCCGTAGTAGTAGTAGTAGTAGTAGTAGTAGTAGAAGAAGTAGTAGTAGTAGTAGCCGTAGTAGTAGTAGTAGTAGTCGTCGTTGCTGTTGTTGTAGTACTCGTAGTAGTTGCAGTAGTAGTACTAGCACTGTACTACTACGAGTATCAGTACCAGTACTAGTACTAGTATTAGTACTAGTACGACTATTAGTACCAAAAGGAGGTATATAATTAGCATTGGCATGTGTTTACCTCCCCTTCTTCTGATTCCTCATCCTCCTCCTCCGCCTCTTCCTCGTCTTCTTCCTCTTCATCTTCCTCGTCCTACTCCTCCTCCACCTCTTCCTCCTCGACCTCCTTCTCCTCCTCGTCCTCCTCCTCCTCCTCTTCTTCCTCCCGCTCCCTCCCTAATCCTCATTCCTTCTCCTCCTATCGCCTCCTCCTCTCCCTCCTCCTGATCGTCCTCCTCCTCCTCCTCCTCCTCCTCCTCCTCCTCCTGATCGTCCTCCTCCTCCTCCTCCTCCTCCTCCTCCTCCTCCTCCGTTTCATCCTCCTCTTCCTCCTCCTCCGTTTCCTCCTCCTCCGGTTCCTTCCTCCTCCTCCTCCTCCTCATCCTCCTCTTCCTCCCTCAACTACAAGCACAACCCGACGATAGTCAAGGCAATTATAGGTGCACTGTAAAAAGCTGTCCAGCATCGTTCGTGTCCCGACGCCAAGTGTTGGCGCATATATATATAAATATATATGTATGTGTATATATATATATATATGAAAGAGCGTGTTCTACCGCTGCTGGCGGAAAACCGGGGGGGGTCACTACCGGTTCGAACCCCTCCCCCCCCCCCCTCCGGAAAACCGGGGGGGGTCACTACCGGTTTGAACCCCTCCCCCCCCCCCCAGCTCATCATGAAAAGGGGGGGGTCACTACCGGTTCGAACCCCCCCCCCCCCCCTCGAAAACAGAGTGGGGGTGCGGACAGAGATGAGGACGGTGTTGGTGGGACAGTGGTGAGGGGACAGCGGGACAGTGGTGGGGACAGTGGGACAGTGGGACAGTAGAGGGCCGGTAGTGGTGGGGACAGTGGTGGGGACAATGGTGGGAACAGGGGGGACAGTGGACAGTGGTGGGGACGGTGGTGGTGGGGACAGTGGTGGTGAGGACAGTGGGAATGAGGTGGAAACAGTGGGATAGTGGAAGGTACAATGGTGGTGGGGACAGTGGTAAAGGCGGTGGCGAGGACGGCGGTGGGAAAATGGGACAGAGGTACAGTGGGGACAGTGGTGGGGACAGTGGGGACAGTGGTGGGAACAGTGGGACAGCTCAGTGGGACAGCGGAGGAGTCAGTGGGACAGCGGGGACAGTGGGGATAGTCGGGCAGTGGTTGGGTCCGTAGAGACAGTGGGGAGAGGTGGAACCGTGGTGGGAACAGTGGTGGGAACAGTGGGGACAGTGCGACAGTGGTGGGGGCACTGGTGGGGACACTAGGAACGGTGGTGGAACCAGTGGGGAGTGGTGGTGAGGACAGTGGTGCTGGGAACAACAGTGGGATGTGATGTGGACGTTGGTAGGGACCGGGAGTCGTTTGCTGGCGGTGCGTGGGGGGAGGGGGGTCGAACCGGTAGTGACCCTCCTCCGGTTTTCGAGGGGGGGGGGTCGGGGGGGTTCGAATACCGGTATGACAACCACCCCGGTTTTCGACGAGGGTAAGGTGGGGGGGGGGGGGAGAGGGGGAGGGATTCGAACCGGTAGTGCCACCCCCGGTTTTCTAGGGGGAGCGGGGGGGGGGAGGTTAAGGGGAGGGGGGGGGTTTTGCCATGGGAGGGGGTGGGGGGGGGGGGGTGGGGGGTTGGGGTTCCAGGCAGGGGGGGGGGGGGGGGGGTGGGGGGGTATTTCGTGGGAGGAGGGGGGGGGGGGGGGGGAGGTTGGGGGCGGCCCGAACGACCCCCGGGTTCCGGAGGAAAAGGTGGGCAATTTTCGACAGTAAAGCGGCGGTGGATCACGCTCTCTCTCTCATATATATATACATTAAAACATCACGGGTTTCGAGCGATTTTATCCCAGGCCGTGTTCGCCAATCAGTGTTTCGGTTGCCATTCGGTCTTCGAAAACCAGAACAGCACTTGCAGGCACCTTGCCAGTCCATTCAGGACAGGCATTTGTACGGCCTCTAGAAGCAGCACCTATCAGGTATGACAACATGAAGATGAGTTCACTTGTCCGCCGTGCCAGGCTCAAGTACACGATTCGGGTGCACTTCAACTCCATCTCCGTTCGCACTTTCACGCGCTTCTATTGGTGGACGATGGAGGTGGAAGAGGCTCCAGAGTGGCTCCAGACGAAGTCCAAGCGCAAGGCCGAGGTGGGTTCCGCAGCAGACTCAGGCTCCAAGGACTCAAGTTGGCCCGCCTCAAGGAACAGATCCAAGAGGAAGCCCCCAGCGCAGGAGGACCCCTGGCAGCACTCATCACGATCCTGGCCAGGCTCACTCTGAACAACAGTCGCGACCTGGCGGAGCTTATCAGCACCAACTACACCTGCTTCTTGCTCCCAAACGACGCTCCGATCATCAAGACCCTCCGTCAAGCAGACATCGACTACAGCGAAACGTGCAAGACCGAGGGCAATGACCACCAGAACGGGCCGCCATGGCCCCACATCTTCATGGCGATGGTTCACTACCTGATTCAATTGCCCAAGCTGTCCGAGTCACTGAAAAAAGTCTTCACCCCGTACTGGAACACGGTGGCCAAGAAACCCAAGAAGGAGGCGTTGATGAATCTGCAGGCGCACGTGAAGTACTTCAGGCTGCGCCATTGCCACTACGACAAGAAGAAGTTCGATGAGCCGCAAACCTACAATATTCAGTTCCATGCTGGCATCAGCGCAGCAGACACTCACTGTGGGCCAGACGGGCATTACTCTCCACGAGGCGGTCTGCCAGGTGATGATCGACCAGAAGGGCCATTACAAGCCAGGCAGCGCACCGAGGGGAGCGCTCGAGAGGGACGCCGAGACCCTCCTGCAGCGCATCGGCATCAGCAACGACAGCATCGCCAAACAGGTGAACAGCAGCAAGGCCACCAGCAACAGCCAGGGCAAGGGCAAGAAGAAACCAGGGAACAACACCGAGGAGGAGATAGCCGCAGAGCTCGAGGACTAAACCGCGCTTTTCTTGATGAGATTGTAAGCTCCCAGGGAATGACCGATATGCTCAGGAACGGACAACTGAATGATGAGGCCCTGTCGCGCTTGCAGGCTAGACCGCCTGCTCCCATTCTCCGATACAAGATTGGGAATCGTTTTGTCAGATGTTGCATCAGTCTGGAGCCCCAGTCGAATTCGAACTCAACATGGAACAGCTTTTAAGTCGGGCGTCTTGGGTTCAGACTATCCCTACTGACCTCCCTCTTTCCTCGGTTAAGTCCCCTTCCCCCTTCCCGCTCCTGCTTCCGCCCTCCACCGCCCAGGACGCAAATGTAGATAATGCCCCCGAATCCTCAGGGGTCTGAAAGTTTGTGCTCAGATTGTGACGACCTCACGACTCGTCGAGTTTGCTAAGCAGGGGACTGGTGCTTCTGGAGGGCGGTTTAGATTTCCCCGGCGGACCGTCCCTCCTTGAGCCAGTGGAGTCCCCCAGCGAAGCCGCTGGTAGGCGCCTCCATATGCGCAGCACAGAGCCGATGTCACGATTTCATGTGGCTAATTCTTCTCGCCGAAGGTGGGAAGAGCCATCTGACAAAGACATTGGCTCGCAAGTGGTTGTCTGTCTGCCTGTCTGCCTGCCTGCCAGTCTGTCTGTCTGTCTGTCTGTCTGTCTGTCTGTCTGTCCGTCCGTCCGTCCGTCCGTCCGTCCGTCCGTCCGTCCGTCCGTCCGTCCGTCCGTCCTCCTCCTCCTCCTCCTCCTCCTCCTCCTCGCCCTCCCCCTCCCCCTCCCCCTCCCCCTCCTCCTCCTCCTCCTCCTCCTCCTCCTCCTCCTCCTCCTCCCTCAAGCTCGGGCTCGAGCCGTTTTCAGGATCCTTGCCGGCTCGCGCCTTCCCCAGGGCTGATGGCCATTGTGCTGCTGGCTTGAGCGCTTCCGCCAGGTGTGCGGCAGTGAACGCTGGGGGGATACCGGTGCATGGTATCAAGGGATCCCGAGTTGCGCATCTTCGTGCCAGCGCACCTCGTCAACGGCGACCTCGGGGCGCGCGTTGCAGCGTTTGCAGCGCATTTCGGCTCACTAGACGTTGTTCTTCTCGATGGCGGACTCGCAGCGCCGGTTCTGCCACCCGCCGCCGCCGCCGCCCCCGGCACATGGCTGCCGGCAGCCCGCGGAGGTGGAGCAGCTCGAGCAGGCGCCGGTGAAGCAGCTCCCGCGTTGGGAGCGCCTGCGCCTCGCTGTGGAGGCGCAGAGGGCTTCGGAGGTGCAGTCCGACAAGCAGGTGAAGCCGCAGGTGGAGGTTCCGGTGATCTCGCCCTTTTCCCCCCCGCCTGGGGATTTCAGATCGTATCCCAGTCCGGTGGCTACGGTGCAGGCGGTTTCGCCTCCCAGGGCCATGGCGGCGGATGCGGCGAGTTCTTCGGCGGAGCAGGGTACCGCTACGAGCACTACCATTCCACCGGCGCCCAAGAAGAGGCAAGAAGAGGCGTCGCAAACACATGTTGAGCGACTACAAGCGCATCCTCGAGCGCATGAGGGAGGACATGCCCACTGGTCAGGAGCCGGACAGGACGGAAATCGCAGCTTTGGCGATGGGGTGGTGGCCTCCTTCGCCGCCTGCTCCGGTCACGCCGCCGTCACCTCCGACTCCGCCAGCAGGAACGAGGATCCCACGGACGCCACCTCGGAGGTGAAGACCTTCTACATCGGCGACGGGTCCTTTCCCGATGCAGGTGGTGAAGGTGCAGCCCCCGACATGTCAGCCCTTAGTGGCGGTGTCACGCCTGACGGCTCTGGCACGTCAGCCGTCAGTGGCGGTGCCTCGGAGTCGCCTTTCGGTGTAGGCACGTCAGCCCAGAGTGGCGGTGTCCTGGACATGTCAGCCCATAGTGGCGGTGTCCATCACGAGTGGGATGATATTTCCTCGTCTTCTTCTGTACCCTCGCTGGCTGCTGGCGCTACGGAGGTGGCCCCGAAGAGGAAGAAGAAGAATCGGCGCAAGAAGAATAAGAAGAAGGTGAGTTCGCATGTGACCGAGCCCGGTCCGGAGCAGCTGCAGGTTTCTGGCGCTCCTCCGGACGCGATGCCTTCCATTTTTGAGGCCTCCCGTGAGGACCTCGCCACGGACATCCAGTCTGGAGTTTTTTCACAAGATGCGAAAGAGTTGGACGACACTGACGTTGCCTTGCTGGGCCGCTTCGCTGACGGCGAAGCTGTGCTCTCGGAGTTGCAGCAGCAGCCGTCGCTGAGGGCACCGGCGTTGGAGGTCGCCTCTCGGCTGATGGCAGCAGGTGCGAATTCGAATGTTGCTTTCCTGCCAATTGTGCAGGGCCTTGCGACGCAGCAGACATGATGTCCACTCTGGGGTTTTTATCTTAGCAAATGCCAGACTTCGTGATACCCTGGCTTTTATGCACTTTCATATTTTCCTGCTTGCCAATCTCTACGGAAGCTTGTCACAGCAGCTGCCTACAGGAAAAAATCCTCCTCCTCCTCCTCCGCCTCCTCCTCCTCCCTCCTCCTCTCCTCCTTCCTCCTCCTCCATCCTCCTCCTACCTCCTCCTCCTTCCTCCTCCATCCTCCTCCTCCTCCTCCCTCCCTCTCTACTCCTCCTCCTCCTCCTCCTCCTCCTCCTCTCCTCCCCCCCTCCTCCTCCTCCTCCTCCTTCCTCCTCCTCCTCTCCTCCTCCTCCTCCTCCTCTCCTCCTCCTCCTCCTCCTCCTCCTCCTCCTCCCCTCCTCCTCCTCCTCCTCCCCTCCTCCTCCATCCTCCTCCTCCTCTTCCTCCTCTTGCTGCTGCTGCTAGCTGCTGCTGCTGCTGCTAGCCGCCTCTTGCCCCTCCCTCCCTCCCGCCCTACCCTCCCTCCCCCCCTCCCTCCCCCCTCCTCCCTCCCTCCCTCCCTCCTCCCTCCTCCCTACCCGCCCGCCCCCCGCCCTCCCTCTCCCTCCCTCCCTCCTCCTCCTCCTCCTCCTCCTCCTCCTACCCTCTCCCCTCCTCCTCCTCCTCCTCCTCCTCCTCCTCCTCCTTCCTCCTCCTCCTCCCTCCTCCTCCTCCTCCTCCTCCTCCTCCTCCTCCTCCCTCCTCCTCCCTCCTCCTCCTCCTCCTCCTCCTCCTCCTCCTCCTCTTGCTCCTCCTCCTACTCCTCATCCTCTCCTCCTCCTCCTCCTCCTCCTCCTCCTCCGACTCCTCTTCCTGCTCCTCTTCCTCCTTCGTCCTCCTCCTCCTGACCCCTCTTCTCCTCCTCTCGCCTCCCCTCCTCCTCGTCTCCTCCTCCTCCTCCATCTCCTCCTCTATCCTCCATCCTCCATCCTCCATCGTCCATCCTCGATCCTCCATCCTCACGTTCCATGCTCCATGTTCCATCCTCCATCCTCCGCAATCATTCTCCACCCTCCATCCTCCATCCTCCGTCCTCCATCCACACCCTCCGCCCTCCATCCTCCCCCTATATTCCTCCAACCTCCATGTGTTCCATCCTCCTCCTCCTTCTCCTTCCTCCTCCTCCTCCTCCCTCCTCCTCCGTCCTCCTCCTCCTCCTCCTCCTCTCCCTCCTCCTCTCTTCTCCTAGCGACTTGCTTATCCTTTACCTCCTCTGGCCTTCTTGGTGTGTATCTCCTGCCCGCCTACTCCTCCTATCTCCTCCTCCTCCTCTGCCTTCAGGGTGCTCCTACTCTGTCTCTCTTTCGCCCGGCGTCTACAGCTATTTCGATCATCTTCTACGAAGTCCATCATTTGTTCCTCCTCCCTAAGCTTTCCCCTCCATCCCATCTCCTCCTCCTTCTCCTCCTCCTCCCTCCGCCCTCTTCCCTCCTCTCTCCTCCCTCCTCCTCCTCCTCTCTTCCTCCTCCTCCTCCTCCTCCTCCTCCTCCTCCTCCTCCTCCTCCGTTCCTCCTCCTCCTCATCCTCCTCCTCCTTCTCTTGCTGCTCCCCCTTTCCCCCCCCTCCTCCTCCTCCTCCTCCGCCTCCTCCTCTCCTCCTCCGCCTCCTCCTCCTCCTCCTCCTCCTCCCCTCCTCTTCCCCTTCCTCCCCTCCTCCTCCTCCTCCTCCGCCTCCTCCCCTCCTCCCTCTCCTCCCTCCCTCCCTCTCCTCCCGTCTCTCTCCTCCTTCGCCTCCTCCTCCTCCTCCTCCTCCTCCTCCTCCTCCTCCTCCTCCTCCTCCTCCTCCTCCTCCTCCTCCTCCTCCTCCTCCTCCTCCTCCTCGCCCTCCTACGACCGACTGCGCACCAGCTCCCCGCGTTCCCAACCAAAGCTACTCGGACGCCCTCAACGTCTTCGCCCTCCACGAACCACGCGCCCCCTCCTCTGCCGGGCCCGCGGCGCCCACCCTCTCCGCCGCCTAGGCCTCCGCCAGCGGGACGCGCCGCCCGGCCACGCTCGCCAGCGATCCATCCGAGCGCGGACAGCGCGCTGACCCCGACCGCCAGTAGGGTCGTCTGCGCGACGGTCTGCACGACGGCCGCCTCGATGTCCGCCCAGAGAGCCCGCAAGCTGAAGGCGACGGCGCGCCCGGAGCTGGGCCGCGGCCGCCCGTTCTCGCAGCTCTCCCTGTGGAGAGCAGCAAGCGTCTCCCTGGCGACAGCGTCGAGCCGACCGAACTGCTCCACCGCAAAAGGCAGGATGGCGGGGCCATTGCGCGCGACCCTGTCGTGCTCGCCGGTGGCGGCCGCGACGCCTGGCGTGCCGCTGACGTCGCCCAGCCCCTTCCCAAACGGGGAGCGCACCGTGACGTCGATCAGGAAGTGCTTCCCCGACGCCGGCCACCACGCCACCAGGTCCATGATGCTCTCGTAAACCGTGCCGTCGTGGACGACGTATAGCTCTGGCACGTGCCGCTCGATGTCTACGAACGCTCCCGTCCGTTCGAGGTGCCCGCGGAGCGTCGCAAGGACAGAGCACTGGCACCGAAGGCGTTGCTTCCGGCCCGCCGCGCACACGCTGGGATGACGGAGGTGGTCGTCAAGCGGCGCGCCGCAAGATTCATCGTCACCAGCGTTGCGAAGCGAACACGGCAAGCCTCGCTGCGGCGGCGCCGCCAAGCCGAGTCTCGTCCGGGTGGCCCACGCCCGTCGCGCATTGGACGTGCGCAAAGCATGGCGTGCGCAAAGCATGACAGCACGGGAGCTGAAAGAACGCGCGCGCGACGCACTGCGGAACGAAACCTCGCTTTCGTGGACTGAATCATCGCAGACCAACCCTTGCCCCTCCAATCTCCTCCCCCATCCAGCCCCCTATTATGCGAGATAGCAATCAAAGTACCACGCGGCGCCTGATGCAAGTAGGCGGCCTGGGCATCGCCAGGGGTTCGGGGGTCAAGCGGGGCACAAGGAATGCATCCTTCTGTAACAAACAGAGCGGCACGCTCGAAAGCTGGCTCCACGACGCCGACGCCGCTGCCTGAATCCTCGGCTGCCCTGTCGACAATGATGGGCGAGGAGGGGGCCCCTGCGCCTTCCAGGCATCCCTGCGCATGCTTCCCCTTGGCCGCGGAAGCCCCTGCACCCTAGGGCGGTTCTGCGCCCCGCTGGTTGGCCAGACCCCTGCCTGGCTCGAACGGCTCCTCCCTGTGGTTGGCCAGACCGCTGCCTGTCCCGAGGGGCTCCTTCTCTTGGCTGGCCAGGCCCCCGCCTGGCTCGAGGAGCTCCCTCTCGCGGCCGGCCAGGCCGCTACCTGGCTCGAGGGGCGCGTGGCTGGCCAGACCGCTGCCTGGCTCGAGGGGTTCCTCCTTGTGGGAGGCCGGGCCCACCGCTGGCTCGAGGGGCTCGTCTTGGTCCTCTCCGGCGGAGCTGGCCAGGCCGCTTCCTGGATCCAGGGGCTCCGCCTCGCGGCGGGCCAGGCCAGCCCAGGGCTCGAAACGCTCCTCCTGGTGGCTGGCTAAGCCCTGGCCAGGCTCGAAGAGCTCCTTCGCATGGCTGGCCAGGCCGCTGCCTTGCTCGAAGTGCTTTTCCTCGTGGCGGGCCAGGCCACTACATGGTTCGAAAGGCCACCCCAAGCGGTTTGCTGACAAGCCCACCCCAGACAATACTATAGTCACGAGGATGTGTTTGAAGCTAATTAGACTGCCCCCAAATACTGCAACTATTATTATTGGGGAAACGCCGAGGCCGCCATGACTGGAACCTCCAACTCCTGTGAGGACAAGGGGTTCTCCTCGACGGCACTCTCCATGAACTCTTCCTCATTCAGCGGCTCGTCTGCACTACCTTCCCCTGTCGCTGAAGGTAGGCTGGCTGTGGGGGGCGGCTGTGGGTGATGCCGCCCCTGCTCGCTGCCTCCCACGGCGCTGAACTCGTTTGGCTTCGCTGCGCGTCCTAAGTAGCGATTCAGCTCCTTCTCCAAACAAGGCGTGCTGAGACACGTTCCTTGCCACCCTGTCTCCTCCTGAAACTGAGAGGTCCGCAATCTTACAGACCAAGCAGGGCCTTGTAAGTTGCCCACGAACTTTGAGCGCGTAGTTCTGTGCCTGGGTGAGCAGTGGTCACGTTGAGTCTGGCCAAAGCCTGGCCTCTTTGCCATGTTGAGCGGCCGCCACCCCAAGATGTTCACCATGTGGTCCGTTCAACGCTGCGCGGCACTGGCACCATCGAAGTATATCTTAGTGCCGTCGGGGAGTGCAACACTGATGAACGCCCGCATGGCCCCCATCAGAGAACCGAATTACAGATGTATGGCATAGGAAAGGCTGGTGCCGTGCCTATGCGCCCACCACTGTGATACTGACGTGTACAATATCGGACAAACTCCTGAGAAACAGTGGCTACGGCCTCCTCCTCTTCCTCCTCCTCCTCCTTCGCCTCCTCCTCCTCCTCCTCCTCCTCCTCCTCCTCCTCCTCCCCCTCTTCCTCCTCTCCTGCTCCTGCTCCTCCTCCTCTCCTCCTCCTCTCCTCCTCCTCTCTCCTCCTCCTCCTCCTCCTCCTCTCCTGCCTCCTCCTCCTCCTCCTCCTCTACTCCCCTCCTCCTCCTCCTCCTCTTACCTCCTCCTCCTCCTCCTCTCCTCCTCTCCTCCCCTCCTCCTCTCCTCCTCCATTTGCCTCCTCCTCCTCCTCAACCTCCTCCTCCTCCTCGATCTTCCTTCTCGATCTCCCCTCGTCCTCCTCCTCATCCCCTAAAAAAAAAATCCCTCCTCCTCCTCCTCCTCTCCCCATCCTCCTCCCTTCCTCCGCCGCCGCCTCCCCTCCGCCTCCTCCGCCTCCTTGATCCTCCTTCCTCGATCTCGCTCCTCGATCTCGTTCTCCTCCTCCCCCTCCTCCTCTCTCCTCCCTCCTCCTCCCCCTCCTCCTCGATCCCCTCCTCATGCCGTGATCCTCCTCCTCGATCCTCGTCCTCCTCCGCCTCCTCCTCCTCCTCCTCCTCCTCCTCCTCCTCCTCCTCCCCCTCCCCCTCCTCCTCCTCCTCCTCCCTCCTCCTCCTCCTCCTCCTCCTCCTCCTCCTCCTCCTCCTCCTCCCCGTCGGCGCGGCCTCTCCTGGATCGCCGAGCGGTCCGCCTCGATGCTGGCGGTGGCGCCGGTGACGAACTCCGCGTACCTGCTCTGGGCGGCGTTCTCGGACACGTCCAGGACCTTTTCCTGGCTGGGGGGGGGCCGCGCCGGGGTCGGCAACGAAATCTGAACCGCACCCTCGCCGATCAACGATTCGGGCAGCTCGACGGGCGGCGGGGGCAGGGTTCGGAATTCGTCAAACACGTGGCGAGATCCGGATATTACCCCTGGTGCCCACTCGCCATCGCTCGGACGTCCATTCCCTGTGTTTTTGTTCGGTTTCGTGCGTGGTTTTTTCGCCAAATGATCAAGGATGCTCCTCGATGGTCCTCGCGGAAAGAAAAATGCACACGTCCGAGCGATGCCAAGCCCATGAATCGAGGAGGATCGATGGTTGAGGGCGGGGTTCGGATGTGTGCCCCCGGGTGGCGCGGCCGCACGGATGCGTGCCGCGCGGAGCGTCCGCGGGGGTCGCGGCCCAGGGGCCCGGCCCACGAGGCCGCGGGTGCGGATATGTTTCTCGCCCACGGTCCTGGCCGTGGGGCCCGCGCTGGGCACGGTTTGGGAACTTTTGCTCAGCGTGTCGCGGCGGCGGCCCTGACGACACGATAGGCCATGCGAGCGAACAGCATGTCGCCCCGCTCCGCGGGGCGGGAGGCCGGGAGGAACTCGGGACGTTGCCGCCTGGGAGCTGGGATGTGGATAGCGTATCCCGCCGAAGCGTGGTGGGCCAGAACCGTCGGAGCGACACGCTACGTCAAAGTTCCTGACCGTAGCAGTGGGGAGAGCAACGAGAGGGGGCCACGCAGCTTTTCCCCACGCGCTCTCGGATCACATATCAGAAGACGTCATCGGATCCACTTCTCAAGAGGACAAGTGTATGAGCGAACTCGATGCCGTGGCACAAGCAGGGCTCTTTGAAACCTCCTCTGAGAAGGTATGCATGTCCTCTGGCAACAATTTGTGCAGAAAATCCAGACACTTTAGAGACTTGCTGCTCTTCTTGCTGATGTCGAATGCCTGCTGCAGTGTTGTCGGCCTTTTGCCGCGCTCGTTGTCGTGCACCGAATCCCCAAAAGTCTCGGGTGGCAACTGATTTATCATGTCCAGCTTGGCAAAACATTTTGCGATTTCGACGTCCTCCATGCCTGAGCCCCACTCGTCACACTTCGCAACCGCCTCGGCGACTAAGGGCACAGCCGCACGCGAGAACATCTTAAAGTCGCCGTGCACGAACGGTGCCCATTGATTAGACCCGTTGTTGTAATTATAGATCGCTCCCATGTAGTGCAGCTTGGTTGCGTCCATTCTGCTTGCTTTTGCGACAACGCTGTCCGTATTCACGTAGGTGTCGTCGTCGACCAGTGCAAACCAGTTGCACGAGTCCTTGAGCTGTTTCGTGTTGATGGTTAACAACTGCACCCTCGTGCGATCTGGCAAATGATCGTAGTCTGTCCCAATCGTCTGGATCACACGATCTGGTGTAATGCTGCTGGGCAGATGATACGGTGGGGTCTGTTCGTCCACAAAATAATAAACCCGGCTCCGATTCGAGGGTTCTGCTGCCCAAGTCGTTGCGACGGCCTCGGCGCGGGAACGGCCGTCGCCGTGGGTGCCAACTGTGTCCGTGGTGACGAAGAAACAGACGAGGTCATTGCCGCCATCGGACGAACTCTTTTCGCCAAACGTGTCTCGGCCAGCGAAGCTCCCATGGTTGATCCTGTGGCGGTTCTCTAAGAATCCCGTGTGGATCTCGGACTTCCGTCGGCTCTCGAGATCCGCGCCATCACCCGCAAGAAATACGACGGGCCTCGCAGCGAAGGCTGTGGCAATTGTGACAGCCCTGACGCCGACCCGGAACAGCGCCGGTTTAGGCGCATGCCACGCGGAGCGCCAGGCACGGTGGGCAGCCATCGCTCGTGCGGGAGCGAGGAGGCGCGCCGGAAGCGCGAGGGGGAAGAGGGACTCGCGCGGAGGAGAGGGACACTTGAGCCAACGTGGCTCCAGCCGAAATCGCAACGGGCAGTGACGACGACGATGATTCCTCATGCCCGATCTGCGCATGCTGTCCTCCCACCTGGCCCGCGCCAGTCCCGAGGTCGAGAGGAAAGCTGATCGTGAGCAGGTGCTCGGAGCTGGAGCCTTCTAAGCGGCTGGGTTCGACGAGCACTATGGAGACATACTGGTCCGGAGTGCCACTGCATCGATCGATATACGATGCTCATGGCCAAAAACCAGGGGAGGTCACATCAAGTGCGTCTTCCAATTCAGCATAAGAAGCCCGCGCAATACTGAAATGCTGCAATCAAACCTCAAATTCTAATCACAAGGTGACCAGGGATTCTGGTCGCACGTTGCTGGTTAGAACGTGTGCGCTTGCGTTCAGAATCGTCAAAATTAGCTTCAGAGGTAAACCGCCATCGTAGCCCACTCGGATTACACGTTTCACGTTTGTTGTACGTTAACAGATCCTGACTACTATGGCCCTGAGTTACGCGTCCGCAAATAGTCAGCGCATGCATGGGGGCTCACCCATCACGCGCTTCGTCTGCACATGCTCGACGCATGTATGCTGACCCAGCGCATGGGCATCTCTAACTTCACAATCGACTGGGGCCAGCAAGTCTAGCAGCCTTCATCATGCTGGACATTGTCGCAAGGGGCATGAGCACTGAGTAGGAGGCGCGCTACAGCTCACTTGGCAGTTTCGCAGAAAGCCCTAACTTATTACCGAGCCACATTTACCACTGGTTTCTGGAGGCTAGAGCTAATCTCAAAACTACAGCTATAACGAGAATTGAAGCTCCAGCGAACAAAACAAGTAGCTCAAAAGTAGGTTTCGAGGGGTCGCAACCAGAATGAGCATCTACTCGTAGAGCACAATATCCAACCTTGGGAACCATTGCCGATCCCCCTCCCCGTTACCCGTAGCACCGGAACTAATCAATTAATCCCCAGAGAGGGGAGAACCGCCAAGCAAATTCGTTTGATCGTTGGCACCCCAATGCATGAATCAATTCCTCGAGTGGGAGAGGTGGGAGCAACGAGTTTTCACGAATCAGCTGAAATTCTCACGAACCCCTCAGGAATCCTCAAGCATCTTTAGGGGCCCACATGAGCCCTGGGAATCCTTCAGAAGCCATTCTGGCATCCCCTGAAAAGCACAACAACCCTCAAGAATGCGAAGGAGCTAGGAATCCTTCAGCAATCCTGAAGGTATCTTGAAGAACCCACAGGAACCCTCAAAGAGGGCAAACAGCCTGCGGGAAACCTGAAGAGTCCTTCGGGAAGCCTACAGGCATCTTTACGATTATTCAGGAGCCCTTAGGAACCATAAGAATTCCGACGGATTTCTCCTGGAACCCTGAAGAATCTTTCAGCAATCTTCAGGAAGCCTTCTCGAACCAACAGGAACCCGCAGCAACCCGCAGCAATCCTCCACGAGCCCTTGGGACTCCGCAGGAATCTTCACAACCGTAGGGAGTCTAGAAATATCGCGCAGCAGCGCCCGGCGATGCCAAGCAACGGCGAGCAATGCAATACAGCCATCGTGCTACCAGAAGGAAAGAACCAGAACGAACGAAAAGGGGCTATTCTGGCCATAGCAGGCCTAAGCAACCAACAGGCTCCAAGACATAAGCCTAAGGTTAGGTCGGGCGTGCCCCCTACAGGCGGATGTTCGTGGAAAGTTTAAAAGGTAAAACAATACGCCAAGAAGGTCAAACAAGGTAGAACAATCGCCCCGATATTATCTTTTGACTATTCTGGAAAATCCTCCTGTAGAGGGACAGGCCCGACTTAAACCTAACGGCCCCAGACGAGGTTTGACTATTTTGGAGTTTTCCTCCTGTAGACTATTTTTTGGCTGTTTTGGAATCTTAGAAAATCGTCCCCTGACTATGTTTTGACTATTTGGGAATCTTCCTCCTGTAGAGGGGTAGGCCCGAATTCAACCTAAAGAAACGGCCCGGAAGCCCGAAGCCCTTCTGAAAACCAAAACCCGCTTTTGGGTCAGCGTCTTGACTGCACGATGCGAGGCAATGCGAAGAAGCGCAGACTGACGCAGAGATTTACGTTGACCCCATCGTACACAAGGACCACATCCCCCCCAAAAAAAATTCGAACACCCAGACAAGTATCAAGACAGTGTCGAACGAGTATCGCCTCCCAGGGCCCGACACGTGAAAACCCCCAAATTTCGGGGTTCTTGCTGCGTGCTCGAAATTATTTCTGGTGGTCAAGGCTAAAGTAGGTTGGAATATCACAAGCAGAGATGTAATCAAGCCAAACGCAACGCCAAGGATTACAATGCAGCGCAAAGCCCCTGATCAAACCCCAACGCAACGCCAAACCTCCCCCATGCGGCTCTTACTTGCTGCCGGTCGACCTCGCATGGGGAGGCACTCCAATCTCAAGAAGAACACCCCCCCGCACAACCTCCGTTATTTCACACCCGTGTTCCGAAAGCGGCCCGCCCATTTCACTTTGGGAAGAATATGTAGAAACTTCAAATGAACATCAATGTATAAGTGAATTGCCTAGATTGCACATGATATTCGACAAGACACCACCCATGTGCGACCCTGGCGCCCAAACGTGCTGAATACCTTTTCCGAATACGCTTGACCTTTTGATGGTTTTCCTGGTGGTCCTGAGGGGCTCTTCAGTTTCAGGAATAACGCTCCCACCAACACCGCCTGCGCGATTTAGCACCCATATTCAAAACTGTGCACTGGCCCAGCCGATTCTTGGCAATCGAAAACTGGCCATAGGAGCAACAGTTGTACGGATCCCTTTGCATATTGGATCAAGCGTTAGCCAACGTGGACCCCAAACTGTTTTCTTCTAGCATTATATGTTGTGCTATCTAGATGGAGCAACCTGTGTGCAATCTACGTGGTGCAATCAATTTCTGTTCGCAGTGAATTGTCCACTCCACACTCCACTGCTCGCGCAAACATCCCACCCACCCACCCACAACTTGGTTTGCACAACCCCTTGAGACCGTGACGGTGGGTACAAAATGGCACTTGGCAACGACACCGACGCCGACGACGACAGCGACAACGACGACGACGCCGCCGATAACGACTACGACGAAACCGACGTCTCCAACGACTTCGACGACGCCGACAACGACGACGCCGACGACGACGACGACGACACCGACGACGACAACGGCGACGACGCCGACGCTGACGACGACGACGATGACGACGCCGACGATGACGCCGACGACGACGACGACGACGAAGACGACGACGACGCCAACGAAGACGACGACGACGACGAGGGAGGAGGGAGGACGACGACGGCGGCAACGACGACAACGACGGAGGAGGGAGGACGGCGACGACGCGAACGACGAAGAAGGAGGGAGGACGGCGACGCCGACGACGACACCGACGAGGGAGGAGGGAAGACGACGACGACGACGACGACGACGACGACGACGACGACGACGGCGACGAAACAGGAGGGACAACGACGAAACGCCGACGAAGTCGAAAAGGGAGGAACGACGACCACGGCGAGAACGACGATGGAAACGACGACGACGCCAAGACCACGACGACGACGACGAGGAAAGACAAAGAACGACGACGGCGACGACGACGACGACGACGACGAGGGAGGAGGGAGGACGGCGACGACGACGACGACGCAAGAGAGCGCGCGCACGCTTTTGTTGAAAATCCGTGTTGCGAAACTCTGTGCTTTTGTGTGTTTTTGGGGCACTCGATTTTGAAATCCTTCCGGAACCTGAAGTTTTGGAAAGTGTTCGGCATGCGCGCGCGACGACGCGCGCGTGCGAACTTCGTCCCGTTTTTTGCAGCAAGGATTCTCGCGAAGGCGCGCGCGCAAGGGCGTTAGAAAGATTTCGACATGCGCGCGCGAAGCCCGTTTGGTAGCACTTCTTGAAACAATTGAAAACCTATGTTCTTCAGATTTCGCAAGAGCGCGTGTTTAAGTTTTTGTTAGCAAATCAATGGTGCGAAACCCTGGATTGTTGTATGTGCTTTGGGAAATCGATTTTGAAATCTCTCCGAAACCTGAAGTTTTGGAAAGTTTTCGGCATGCGCGCGCGGCGACGCGCGCGTGCGCACTTCGTCCCGTTTGTTGCAAGGGATGTTTGGAAACTTGCGGTTTTTGATAAATGAATGTGCGCGCATATAATTTTCTGCAGAGGATGGCGGGGGGGCGATACTGGCCTGGCTGGGGTAGTATGAATTCACAAGTAAGATGGACGATGGGACAGAAGCGGACTGCAATGCGAAAAAAAGTGGCCCGTTAACTCCGGGGGGTGGTATAGTCGATTATTCTTCTAGAGAAGAGAATTTATGTTGCGCATTAAATGATGTGTCGGCTGTGCTGTGCAATCTGTGTTGTGCAACGTTTGCGGGGCAACCTATGTGGTGCACTCTACCTGGAGCAATTGATGACTACCCTGCACTGCGCGTGACCACCTCCATTGCTCGCGCAAACACCCCATCCCCCCCACCCGCAACTTGGTTTGCAAAACCCATGTGGTGGCGACTGCGATGCGTGCTTGGCGTTGGCTGGTGCATCCCTGCGGCCGCGCCACCCCTCGCACGCGCGCGCAGCGGCCAGCTAGTTTGGCGTTACCGACGCGGCCGCGGTGGCGCTGACCGCTGGGCGCATCCCAGCGGGCACATACCTGCGAGTCGGCGACTTGGGCGGGCGCGGAACCATGTCAACGCCGACCACGGTAGACGCGATAATGATAGTGGCGATGCTGGTGACGATGTTCGCACCGACGAAGGCGCGGCCAGCGCGGGCGCCGATGCTGATCACGCCGACGACGATGACGGCGTCCTCGCGTCGGTGATGGAGGTTTTGGCAAGAATCAGACATGCGCGCGCGGCCGGCGCGCGAGGGTGGCCCGCATGGATTGACTTGACACGGGTCGTGCCCCCAGCACGCGCGCAAGGGCGCGCGAATGATGCCGGCACGTGGCGCCAGAGGCCCGTTTGGCAGAATCACATGAAAATGTTGACAACCGATGGCTTCTTGCAAGCATGCGCACGAGCGCGCACAAGTTTTTTTAAAATAAGAAAACTGATGTTGCGAAATTTTTTGTTGTTTGAATGTTCGTTGGAATTCAGTTTTGAAACCGCTGCGAAACCGAAGGTTTTTGAAGGATTCCGGCATGCGCGCGCGACGGCGCGCGCGCACTTCGCCCCATATGTTGCGAAGAATTTT